TTGAAAAATCTGATAAATAAAAACATTTTTTGTCGAATTTTGTTGTGAAAACTATCTAGAATGAAAGAAAATGGTCTAACTAAGAAAATGAATCCGAACACCAATATCTTTAATTCAGTCGTTAACGCTGTACAGACGTTTAAAGTGTTGTTTACGTGACGTCACAATGTAGCGCCAAACAGCACGTGCAAAACAATCAAATCAAGTACGCTATTTTAATGTCGCAAACGAGTTACGTTTTACATTTATTGCACTTGTTATAATTTGAAAAATTATAGAGTGAAATAGAATAAACAAACAAAGTTTTATCAACGTTTTCAAAATTCGTTATTCACACGGTAGATTTAACGACAGTTTTTATCAACCAACTGGAACAGCCTTTAAAGAAGGTTTCTATTGGAAACTCTCAGGCGAAAACAAATTTAACCACCAAACATAAAGTCCAACTTTATAATAATAATTATATTTTTTCTTGACGTGTTAGAATGGAAATAGATATTAATTCTTCGTGCATTATTGTATAATAATGCACGTTTTTCGTTCAAATGCTTTGTAATATATATCACTTCGTGATTAAATTACTACGCATTTGAACTCAAACCGTGCATTATTCTTCAACAATGCACTCAGAATTGATATATATTTCCTAAGTAATTTAATCCCGGGAGTTGTTGACAAGCTTTTTTCCAATACATTTGTATATGTAGTAAAAGTCCACCTAAAATAATTGAATTCATTGGCAAAAAAGCAAACCATACATTATTTTATATATTTATCAATATGGCCGTACAAATCGAAAGTACAAAAAACCAACCTGTTGACATTTAGTCGGATTTGTTTAAAATTGAACATCGGTGGGCATATTTAAATTACAAATTGTTGTCAGACATATTTTCAAGCATAAGAGTGCCGAAATCAAACATATACATTCGTTTTACATTATCTTTGTTTCTGTCCACGTGGTAGAACTACTTTCAATCCGTATTGTTTCCGAGGTTATTATAGATAATAGCCGAGGTAAGTCCGAATGTCTACACCTTTGGCATATTAGAAATGTTTATGGACAGAGATACGTAATGATTTCAAAGTTTATTTTTTAATTTCTATACCAGTCTTAGTATTTCGTACATTTAACACTTTATCATTTCATTTCTAGGAAGCAGAAATAATAATAATAAAATAATTAAAATAAAGTCGGGAAAACAACGACTGAATACAAACTTGGCTTATAAAGCAGGGGCGACATGAAGGAAACATTGAAAGCTACCCTTTCACAGAAAACACACAATAAATTGAAACTATTTATTAATCACTATGAAAGATATTATTTCAAATTTCAGCAGAATACATGTATATTAATTAATATAAAGATCATGAGTTGTATTATATAAATAGTAAATGTATAGGTCATGTGTTGTATTACATAACTAGTTATTGTATAGATCATGAGTTGTTTTATATAACCAGTTAATGTAAAGATCATGAGTTGTATTACATAACTATTTATTGTATAGATCATGAGTTGTATTATTATAACTAGTTATTGTATAGATCATGAGTTGTATTATATAACTAGTTAATGTATAGATCATGAGTTGTATTATATAACTAGTTAATGTATAGATCATGAGTTGTATTATATAACTAGTTAATGTATAGATCATGAGTTGTATTATATAACCAGTTAATGTATAGATCATGAGTTGTATTATATAACCAGTTAATGTATAGATCATGAGTTTTATTATATAACTAGTTAATGTATAGATCATGAGTTGTATTATATAACTAGTTAATGTATAGATCATGAGTTGTATTACATAACTATTTAATATAAAGATCATGAGATGTATTATATAACCAGTTAATGTATAGATCATGAGTTGTATTATTTACCAGTTATTGTATAGATCATGAGTTTTATTATATAACTAGTTAATGTATAGATCATGAGTTGTATTATGTAACTAGTTAATGTACAGATCATCAGTTGTATTATATGACCAGTTCATGTATAGATAATGAATTGTATTATATAACCAGTTATTGTATAGATCATGAGTTGTATTATATAGCTAGTTAATGTATAGATCATGAGTTGTATTATATAACTAGTTAATGTATAGATCATGAGTTGTATTATATAGCTAGTTAATGTATAGATCATGAGTTGTATTATACAACTAGTTAATGTATAGATCATGTGTTGTACTATACAACTTGTTAATGTATAGATCATCAGTTGTATTACATTACAAGTTATTGTATAGATCATGAGTTGTATTACATAACTATTTAATGTAAAGATCATGAGATGTATTATATAACGAGTTATTGTTTAGATCATGAGTTGTATTATATAACTAGTTAATGTATAGATCATGAGTTGTATTATTATAACTAGTTATTGTATAGATCATGAGTTGTATTATATAACTAGTTAATGTATAGATCATGAGTTGTATTATATAACTAGTTAATGTATAGATCATGAGTTGTATTATATAACTAGTTAATGTATAGATCATGAGTTGTATTATATAACTAGTTAATGTATAGATCATGAGTTGTATTATATAACTAGTTATTGTATAGATCATGAGTTGTATTATATAACTAGTTATTGTATAGATCATGAATTGTATTATATAACTAGTTATTGTATAGATCATGAATTGTATTATATAACCAGTTATTGTATAGATCATGAGTTGTATTATATAACTAGTTATTGTATAGATCATGAATTGTATTATATAACCAGTTATTGTATAGATCATGAGTTGTATTATATGACCAGTTAATGTATAGATCATGAGTTGTATTATATAACTAGTTATTGTATAGATCATGAGTTGTATTATATAACTAGTTATTGTATAGATCATGAATTGTATTATATAACTAGTTATTGTATAGATCATGAGTTGTATTATATAACTAGTTAATGTATAGATCATGAGTTGTATTATATAACTAGTTAATGTATAGATCATGAGTTGAGTTGTACTATATAACTTTGTTATTATATAGATCATGAGTTGTATTATATAACTAGTTAATGTATAGATCATGAGTTGTATTATATGACTAGTTAAAGTATAGATCATAAGATGTTTATTATATAGATCATGAGTATATGAGTTCTTGTAACATATGTTTTTATATTCACACTACTAAGAGTATTCTGTGAAGAGGTGGCTTGTTTAAATACAATCACCCTGTTTATTATTTTGCAGTCAAACTGGTTTTTGTTGTGTTTGTTGTCATGCCAACCCGGCGATTTTTGATAGTTGAACTCCCGAGTGTCAGAATGAATAGATAAATCTTCATCTTCGTATGTTTTCGATTTTCTTTTCTGTGGATTTAAATTTGTGAAAGTGAAAATAATTGATTACCGCCATAGATGAGCATCCTAATTAAATGTTAACGGTTGTTCACTTAAAATCACTTGCTGTGCACCGTAGTAGGTTCAGATCCCGCTAATGACGACACTAAATCTCTTATAAAAAGTTTTTTCGGTGGCCCTTAAAAGGTCAGACAATGCAGATCTTGCACTTCAAAACCAAACCATATGAATTTTACAGCGTTGGAGAGAAGAAAACCTAATGAAAATAGTTATACCGTGTCACTTTGATAAAATATAGCTTACAGTTGTGAAATATTCAACATTTTGTTAAGATTGTTATCGAGGTTTTCAATTAATATTTCAAAAGGAGAATGTATAAAAAGTCTAATGCATGTTGTACATTGTGTAAATCTATCAAATGGCGACATTATTAAGTCGGTGGTTCAGATATAAGAAGATGTTTTGCTAATTAAAGCATATCTATGAAAGTCTAAATAGAATTGTAAGGAAAAAATAAATGGAAAATCTAGCATACATAACCAGACAAGTTGGCCTTGATACGTTTAACGTAACTTGAAATTTAGCAAAACACTTGTTTATTTATTAAGAGATATTTTAACCCAATATTTTTGCAAAATTAATGAAATCTTTTGTAGATTTACAAATGTCGTCTCATAACATGAATGTATGAAATGTTGCTTATATTATACAAAGAAATGTTTTACACGGTTCACATTTTTAGTTACATTTTCTTTACTGAAATACATGAACATGAACATATATTTATGCACACTTTCTGCAGAAGCAAGAGGTCACATTTAAAGCATGAGCCTAAATGGGAAACATGGGGGTGGGGCGCTTGCACGAAAAATGTCAGTAGGGTTAATTTTGCTTAAATAAAAGTAAACGTCTTAATCGGTTATTCCGCGTTTAGTGATAGATCTGTATTTCGTACTAAGAAACTATTGCTTGTGCCACGTTTTCAACGTGCTAGTGTGATGGCTTTTGGCGTTAAAACTCATGGTGCCGTATTGCATTAACGCGCACAGAGACACGCATATTCAACGGCGCGTGGTCGCCAAAGTCTATCCGTGAATGCACTAATTTTGCGTTAACGTCAGATTTTGCTGTAAGTTATACCTTACTAAACGGATAATAAGGAAACGGAGCTCAAATAGCCTCAGTATATTAACAGATAACTGTATTTTTTATTTTATTTTTTTTTTCAGGACAAAAATCGTCATCATAATAATTATTAAGTGTCTGATTTCCTTTCATTAGAATGACAATACTCGAGTTGCAAGTCTTCTTTATGTATAATTTCGAAATTTGAAAAACCTGTGTAATCAAATCATCATTTAAATGCACAATATAGACAATTTAATTGTATTAAAATTTTAATTTTAGAAATATATCTAAAATGTTTAAGTTAAAAAATGCGACTTCTTTTATATTTATACGCATCTTTCATTTTATTATGGTAACAATTTTATATCGGAACAAAATCTATTTTAATTGCTTTTTATTTGCACTGCAATTCATTTCCTACATTTTATATCGAATAAAATCATACAGTGAAGCGTTCATGTTTAGACTGTACAGGTAAAATGTTATAATATAGTTAGAAGATGTATTTACATAGAATACATACCATGTCTATCTCGCTAATGGAAAACATTGATATAATGTATATATTTATGGTGACCTCAACAACACGGTCAGTACCCGCTGCAACAAAATAAAAATAACATATTACAGCATAGCTGTTTTATTGTTTGTGGGTTAAGTGGCTTCAATACAGTCGTGAAACGAAGAGCTTAAACTTATGATATCTAGGTTCGATGTACTGATGTCACAACCCAAGCTGCATGGGCTGTGGGGACCCGATATTTATTGAGAGTAAAGTTAGTAACTACATGTATGTATGATCCTTATTTTCTACATTTAAGAATTATTTTATCAAAAAGTACTGACTTAAAACGTACTAATTTACCTTTGTTGTAATTTGGAGATAATTTCTTGTCATAGCCATCAAATATTTTGGTTAATAATGTAGACCTGAAACACAATACAAAATCGTGAATTTCTTCAAGGGTCTCTAATACTATTAATAATAATGTCGATACTGTTTAGTATCGTACGTGAATTACTAGTATATGGAAGTTGCTGGTAAGTGTTAGATACATTATTTCACATATATATAGCAGATAAGTGTTTATTATGTGCCTGGGATCAAAATTTACCCACCCAAGGGGTCTCATATCTATATAGACTTATATCAGGAAATGTTAAAAAAGTCTTATCTGAAACGAAAAGGGCTAGAGCTTTGATATTTTGCATGAAGCATCATCTTATGATTGTCTATGAAACTGTTTAAATCACACTACCATGTTTATTTAGGTGAGCGTATCAGGGCCATTATCACCCTCTTGTTTTAGTGATTAATATGTTTAATGTTATTTCAAAGTATTTCTTATTAATTAATAAATCTTCCTTTGTTTCAGTTAAAGCTAAAATAATTATCCAATAAGAAACCTTTTTGTCACATCTGTTTGTTATATAAACAAATCTCCAACTTTAAAGCAGTGTGAAAAGTTAAGTTAATGGTGAAATCATTGTAATATTTATCAACATTTCATGATTTGTGAAAATATAGACTTTACAAAATAGTCCCAGAAAGTATTTGTGTGAAAACGTTTTATTTAGGATCTTTATTTTCCATGATTTCAGACAGGGGCTGTGGGTACAAAGGAAATAGATTTGACCAATGCCATACAATAAATAAACAAAGTTGAAATAACCATTTTCTTTTTAAAAATCAACATATATTTTTTTAGGGACGATTATGCTGATGGATTTTTTTAAGCAGTAAACTTGGTTTGAATATATATGAAATAGTTGTTGATGTACTGCCTCTGATTAGAAACCTTCCATTCTGAATAACACATTCAGACCACACGAAAATTAGTGCTTTTACAATGGCACATAGTCAGTGAGAGAAGTTTTAGTTTAAAGTAATAAAAAATGATTGATTTAACATTAAGTTATAAAATAAAGATTTTAAATACTGAATAAAAATAAATTATAAATAATAAGTTATAAATAACAAGTGATAAATAATAAGTTATAAATAATGGTTAATGCCAATATACATATGAATTATTATTATGTCTAAAACGTGTTGTATATTATATGTGTGTCACTTTTTCATGTGAAACATAAGTTTACCTTTCTTTACGTTTTATCTTGAACTTGTCTTATCTTTAATACATCAAACTTCTGATTACAGGGAAACACCATACCAGGGTACAATACCAGAAGTGGCCGTGGAAGAAGTCGACGATCATAACTCAAAGTTAAGTTGGGATGACAGCATTACAGAGATAATGCATATAGAGTATGCAAAGGTGGTGGAACTTGAACAATATAATGCAAAGCTGACCAAGACATAACTGTCAAGGATATTGTTGAGAAAGGGAAAAAGATGTTTTTCAAGAAAGGTTACAGTTGCTTTGGCCACATAGATAATATATCAATTTGTTTGATAGATCCACGTGGAGAAACAATCAATGAATCCACTGATTTGAATGGAGCGAAATGTAAAGCTAAAGGGATGTTCCAATCCAAGCGTCATTATTATGTTAGAACAAAGTATTTTGAGCCCAACTGTGAACAGTCTGTATTGTGTTGGGAGGAAGCAGAAGCAGAATATGTGAAGAATTCATTTTTGATTTTAAATCAAAGTGTTGAAGCTACTTCTGTTGAGAAGGAAAAGATACTGTTGTATTTGAAAAGATAAATTCACCAGTTTATTATTTCCCATGATTAGTTATGCAATATTTATATTGAGAAAATTTTCGCTGCAGTTGTATGTCTGTCCCGTCCCAAAATATTCAGTCGTGTTGCTCCAAATGTACTTTTATTCGAGACAAAAAACTTCACAGGAATGTTGACTTTTAGAGTAAAATATTAAATTGCCATAAGTGTGGGAGGTGCATCTGTGTCGTTTGGATACATTTCTTGTTGGAATTTGGTTTCTGTTTATCAGTATCTTTGATTTCAACATTTTGAAAGATTTGTTGTATCATTTTACCTTGACTATTTGATTGTCAGTTAAGCTTGAAATTAGCTACAGCTGTTACATTCAATGATCACATATGCTTGTTTTGTTTAGAATTGAGACAATATGATTTTACTGCTTTTCATTATCAACTCATTTGTGAATTTTTCACAGCTTTATGAATAATACATGTATAGGTATATTAGCCAAGTTCCATAACTCTGACATATAATTTCATTAAATAATGTCAATTTTCTTCTTTAGTTCTATTTTCAAACCTAGTCGCCACTTAATTATTGTGACAGCTCCAGTTTTTGTATTTGTCATTCTTTTAATTCTATGTTTATTATAACCCTTATGGTGTTTACACCATTCGCACTTAAATAATGCAGTCAGTCTGTCAGCTTTTTTGTCCCTTGTCAACAGGATCCATTTTTAACTTGAGAAACTATTTTTATTGCTTGATAAGGTTTGATTCATGAAACAGTGTCAATGTTAGAATGCTTAAAAGCTTAACACTTAATTCGACTATTTTCAATGTGGCCATACCACGTGACTTCTCGGGAACGGTACACGCATATTTTTTTATCCGATTTAGGTATGTTTTTATTAATAACTCTAATGTTACTCAACCGATTTTGATCAGAAAAGGCGCAGAGTACCCGTATAGTTACATAAGCTACCCACGGTAAATCAAAATTCTAAAACCCCTGAATGGTTTTTGAGAACATTCGAGTACAGCTTCTTGTCATATCCTAGGCCGAGGGACACGGTACACACTCATTTATCACAACAAGCCACTTCTTGTTAGTCGTCTGCTTTTTTCACTGTTTCGTAGAAAAAAAAAGAATCTTATAGATTTACTAAGTCTAGTATATCTAGTGAATAAAGTGATGTTAAGCATATTTTCATAAAATTATGTTTAAATGGTACAGAACACACTGTTATTTTAAAGGAACGGCACACACAAATTATCTGTCATTTTGATAAAATCTGAAAAATTATATGAACATTTGCTTTTACTGATAATGTGAGTGTTTTTCTCTCCAAATTTATACATTCTATCTATTTTTACGAGAATACTTAGGACTGCTTTTCCTAACTGTTTTATAGATAAATATGTGATTTTTTTAATGATTTACCCTTGATGTTTTACATTAATGCAGTGCTGTTTAAGCATTAGTTCATCAGGTTGAAATGCGACGGAACACAGTGCTTTAAAAAGGGATACGGAACACATTGTAACTTGTAAAACTGGAAATTCGCCATAATTATTATGACCATGACAGTTTTGGTAAGAAGTGAAACCTAACCAAAAATTACCAACATTATCTGTCTTAAAAGTTATTGATGTTTTAAAAGCTTCATGCCGTTAAACAATATTTCAATACTACGGAAATGTTTAATTTCAAATAAAGTTGCCGTATGCATCTATAATGTTTTTCCAGTTTTACTAGTGCCCCTTTGGGTATAAATTAAGGCACTAACGGGCACCCACAGTTTCAAAGGAGCAATGCCTGCCTAGCACACACGTGGAAATAACTACGAAACTATAAATATTAAAAATGAAGTAATAAATACTTATTAGAAAGTTATAACTTTTATTATGTAATTAATAAATATTATTTATTATTATTACCCCTCACTTTTTTCGTAATGTTAATTTTTCCATAGGCCTCTGGGAGTTATTCTTACTGTTAATGCAAGTGTACCACGTGACTAAGAATTCTGTACTGTTACATAGGTATAACAGTACTTTTTAACAGTATAAAATCTGGTCACGTGGTCTATTTTATTAATAAAATGAAATAAAATGGCCGCCATGTTTTCCTCGATTCATTCTTATTTTCGACCTTGACCACGATAGGACATCACCATCTTCTCTGGAGTAACTATGACACCCATAAAATTTAGTTGTTTGCACCCTGGAGTGCTTTTCGCGTATAAAATATCTTTTTGTTGAATAGTCAAAAGTTAACATCCGTTTTCAACGGAAGTAATTGTAGTGTCAAACTCGAACATGCAGAAGATTTAAGCATGCAACAAAGGATTATTTAACAACTTTAATCAGTGAAACGTTACAGATATGGTGGACAGACATAGGATATCATCGTTATCTTGTCAAAAACCATGCGAAGAATATTCTGGAAACGGAAGGATCAGGTTTCACAGATCATAACCGTATAAATGGGTGAGTGTTTCATTTTCTAAATAAAACACAGCTTATTGTATGTTTATGTAACTTGTTTAAAGAATAAAAGAAAAAGAAAACTTTTCAAGTAGGCCTAAAGTACACTTAAAACTTAAAAGGTAAGGACAGTTTAGTTATTGTTACTCTTGATTTATTTTTGTAACAGTTAGATTTAGTTGACAATTTCAGATCATCACACGCCTCGGGTAACAGTATTTTCCTCGGGATGATATTTTTACTGTTACCCACAAACCCATGTGTTATTTATATACTCCCAGGCTTCCGTATCTTTTCAACCACAATTCAAACAATTTTGCGCATTTTAAACAGAAATATTAAATGTCATAGCAACAAATCTTAAAATAGTTTATAAGGATGGTCAAGGAAAGTCTATATTTATATTAACTTTATATTAAAATCAATAATAAGATTTGTAAATCAAAGTCATTTTTGTTCTTACTTATAAAATAAATAGGTACTTACATATTCATGTCCTCTGTTAAATTCTGTCCTTTTATTTGTGGAAGAAATTGAAGGAAAACGAATGTAGAAACACACAGCAATATCTTCGCCATTCCAATAGTCAGCAAACTACATCATCCCGTAAACTATAAAATATTATATTAAAATAAGCTCTGAAAATAATTAGATTAACCTAAACTAATATTACACTGCGTGAGGAACTTATCTTATAACATATAACATATATAATATATATATGACAGTAAGAAATTCATGAGCGGGAAATTATGCAAAGAAAAATTGCATGTGTATATAATGCAATCATTTTTGTGAAAAATATTAATACGTGACACAGAAAATATTGATACGTGACACAGGCAATATTAATATGTGACGCAGAAGATATTAATAAGTGACAATACACGACACAGAAAATATTAATACGTGACACAGGCAATATTAATATGTGACGCCGAAAATATTGATACGTGACAATACACGACACAGAAAATATTAATACGTGACACAGAAAATATTGATACGTGACACAGGCAATATTAATATGTGACGCAGAAGATATTGATACGTGACAATACACGATACAGAAAATATAAATACGTGACACAGAAAATATTAATACGTGACACAGGCAATATTAATATGTGACGCCGAAAATATTGATAAGTGACAATACACGACACAGAAAATAATAATACGTTACACAGAAAATTATGCGTGACATGGAAAATATAAATATGTGGCGCCGAAAATATTGATACGTGACAATACACGACACAGAAAATATAAATACGTGACACAGAAAATATTGATGCGTGACAATACACGACACAGAAAATATTGATACGTGACACGGAAAATATTAATACGTCACACAGAAAATATTAATACGTCACACAGAAAATATTAATATGTGACGCCGAAAATATTGATACGTAACAATACACGACACAGAAAATATTGATATGTGACATAGAAAATATTGATACGTGACATAGAAAATATTGAAACGTGACAATCGAGACACAGAAAACATAAATACGTGACACAGAAAATATTGATACTTGACACAGAAATTATTAATACGTCACACAGAAAAGATTAATGCGTGATACAGAAAATATTTATACGTGACGCCGAAAATATTGATACATGACAAAACACGACACAGAAAATAATAATACGTTTAACAGAAAATATTTATGCGTGACATGGAAAATATTAATACGTGATACAGAAAATATTTATTGGTGACACGGAAAATATTAATACGTGATACAGAAAATATCAATACGTGACACAGAAAATATGAAAACGTGACACAGAAAATATAAATATGTGATGCCGAAAATATTGATACGTGACAATACACGACACAGAAAATATTAATATGTGACGCCGAAAATATTGATACGTGACACAAAAATATTTATACGCGACACAAAAGAATTAAAACATGACATAGAAAATAGTAATACGTGATACAAAAAATATTAAAACGTGACACAGAAAACATTAATACGTGACATAGAATTTTTTATACCCGACACAGAAAATTATTATACGTGATATAGAAAATATTAATACGTGAAACAGAAAATATTAATACGTGACATAGAAAATATTAATACGTGACACAGAAAATATTAATACATGACACAGAAAATATAAATACGTGACACAGAAAATATTAATACGTGACACAGAAAATATTGATACGTGACACAGAAACATTAATAAATGAGACAGAAAATATTTATACGTGACGTAGAAAATATCAATACGTGATACAGAAAATATTGATACGTGACACAGAAAATATTAATACGTGACACAGAAAACATTAATACATGACACAGAAAATAGTAATAAGTGACACAGAAAATATTAATATGTGACATAGAAAATATTAATATGTGACATAGAAAATATTAATACATGACATAGAAAATACTAATACGTGACCCAGAAAATATAAATCCGTGATTCAGAAAATATTAATGTTGACAAATACACATTTAGCATCTCCTTGCACACGGAAAACAAATACAACAAAAACAAACGGAATCATAATATTCATTACTTATCATGAATCATAAAAGCACCTTATTAACGCATAATTCCTTTAAATAAGATAACACAATATTTATTATTTGTTCATTATTTCACATGATCCACTGATTCAGTCTTTCATTATATCAATATGACAAAAGCAAATATAAGCTATATTCCTGCCAATTTATGTACACTATAGTTCCGCTATGAAAGGAGTGATCGTTACCTTCAGGAAGGTACATATAAATGATCAAACACTGTTGTTAATACAGAAATGTGTTCCAGTCTTAGCTTTATATCGGTCATGTTCTATAGATAAATGTCAGCTTATAATGTAATATAAAGGTATCTGTGGACAAAGTATCTTGTAAAGTGCCATGAAGCCTTTATTGTTCCCCCAGACCTTAAGTAATAGTTTGTTTAATGAAAATTGCTGAAATAAATCAGTGTTTTCTTTTAAAAACAACATGTCTGATAACAGAATGAAAACAACATTGTCCTATAGACTACATCCTAGCAACTTCAACTTTGATTGATGACCAGTATCTTAATTTTCTTTCTTTATTTTACTTATATATAGCAGGCGTGCACTGAAAGTTGAAATTTATTTACATATATAGTCATATAAATATATTAATCTATTGAAGTATCAACACCATAAAGTTTCAAAATCATATTTCGTATACATTGAATAACATGCGATATTATATATTTCGTTTGTCAAAACTAAACAAAACAAACGAATGCAAAATCACACCTCAATTAAAATTCATAAAAATATCATAAAAATGTTAATAATAGTTTTATTTATAAAAATTTTTTTTAGTATAAAACAATTTTTTTGTAAACAAGTTTACTTTTCGTATGAACGGAGTCAAAGAGTCATATCCAGTCATTTTAGCAGACTTATATACTAAGATTTTTTTTGTAGTTGAACAAATATATATTTCTGTAATGGACATAGATCAAATGTATAACTTATATCGTATCTTTCTCATAAAACAAATTCATGAATGATTCATTAATTCATAGTATAGATAAAATAAATGATGTTTCTTTATACATTTATATAACAATGCATTTTATATTTTAATAATGAACTTAAAATATTCATCGTTCTGTAAAGATTGACTTCATTTATTATTATTATAATTAAAAAATATAGTAATAGTTCATAAATGTTCAAAGATGATATTACTTGATAGTAGAGAATTAAATCATATTAAAACATTAATATCAAAATCAATAAATCGATTTTACATACCGAGAGAATAATGTCCTTCAATAAGAAAACCGGTATGATAACGAAACAAATCTGACATTAATAGCTAATGTATTCGATTTCTACGGCATAACATGTCAATTAAAAAGAATATATAAAAAATTGAAGAAAAGGAAAATTTCATTCTGAATCCAAACACTTAAATGAATGAAATTTAAACGTTAACATCAATAAATATTTTGTATACTTCTGTACCAGAATATTTTATATCCTCTTTGATAGTTTACCTCCTTGACTTTTATTGCCATTAATAAATTAGATTATGTGCAGTTTATCAACCGTACAATTGCTTACATTTCAGAAATACATGAATTTACCACAAAAAATTAAACTGACAATAAATTAAAATGACTACAGACGATACAGAATCTATATGATAACTGAAATATCATAACTACACCAACAACCCATTATCATCATTGGATTGCAAATTTGTATGATTAGTAATTCCTTCAGGATCATAAGAATCGTTATTTACAACTATGTAACCCTCTAGAGTAAAAGAACAATCAGTGGTCATCAGTAATTTACACTACTAATTGGCGCACGATCAATCATGGTGTTCTGGAATTACACGATTGTAAGAACCCCTAGCCACAACAAGTCTAACAATGATGATAAATCGAGAATTTACTGTAAACAAAGTTGTTCGTTTTTATTAATTGTAACATTTTGTGTGGTTATGTGTCCAGTACAATTATATGTAAACATTTTTGGCAGCCAAAGAACATAGTAATGTGTAAACCTTGAACAGCAAAGTTGGTCAAAAAGAGAGGTTCAAAAAGAGAGGTGTCGCTAATAACGACAACATTAAAAAATATTAATAAGGATAAGCATTACATGTATTTATTTTCTTAACGATGACTAAGCAGTACTTATTCCATGAACAACGACATAAAAAGTACTTATCCCCTTCACAACAACATAAGCAGTACTTATTCAATTACCGACGAAATAAGAAGTACTTATTCCCTTAACAACGACAAAAGCAGTACTTTATCCCTTTATAACGTCAAAAGCAATTTTTATTCCTTTAACAAAGACATAAGCAGTACTTATTCCCTTAACAACGACAAAAGCAGTATTTATTCCCTGAACAACGACATAAGCAGTATTTATTCCCTGAACAACGACATAAGCAGTATTTATTCCCTGAACAACGACATAAGAAGTATCTATTCCCCGAACAACGACATAAGTTTTTATTCCCTTAACAACGTCAAAAGCAATACTTATTTCTTTAACAAAGACATAAGCAGTACTTATTCCCTTCACAACGACATAAGCAGTATTTATTCCCTGAACAGCGATATAAGCAGTCTTTATTCCCTGAACAACGACTTAACAGTTTTTATTCCCTGAACAACGACATAGGTAGTATTTATTTCCTTAACAACGACATAGGCAGTATTTATTCGACATAAGCAGTATTTACTCCATGAACAACGACATAAGCAGTATTTATTTTTTTACATTCACATAAGCAATATTTTATTTTCAAAAAGCTGCATGCCTCCAGGTTCATGCTGATTTTCATAAAAAATTCAAAATGTATTGAAAAAGTGGACATAGAAATTCAACAAAAGTAGCCTTTATATAAGAAGTGAAACATCTCTTTCAAGGACATGATAATATTCCTAAAAAGCAAGAGCATTAATACATCTCTAGCATGAAATTATTCAACAGTAGTTGACATAAACACCAGAATCGTTATCATTATTATTACTATTATTATCATTAATATTATTATTGTTGTTGTTGTTACTATTATTATCATTATATTATTATTATTATTATTATTATTATTATTGTTGTTGTTGTTGTTGTTGTTACTATTATTATCATTAATATTGTAATTGTTGTTGTTGTTACTATTATTATCATTAATATTATTATTGTTGTTGTTGTTACTATTATTATCATTATATTATTATTATTATTATTATTAGCCGAATACAGAGTCTTTAAATATGTTTTGTCCAAATAATTATGACTTTAATAAATTACAGGAAAAAATGTTTATTTAAAGGCTCAATGTATACAAACGTGGTAATAATATAAGTTAAAAACACTTACTGAAACTTTAAACATTACTTAACAAAAGAAAAAGGAATCTGCATATTATCATGAAGATGAGAAGAAACTAGATCATTAATATTAAGTAAAACTATTATTTTAAATTATAGATGACACAAATTAAAGTTACGTACCAGTAAGAAAACGGAACTAGTCCAAAATATCTTCCTTTAAAAATTTGTTTGAAAAGAAACTTCAGAAAATCTTAAATATCTCAATCATATCTAAATGCATCTAATGTTTGTTTATCTACATTAAAAAACTTAACTTTATCTACACATTATTGTAATAGCACGCTTATTGTTAAATATTTCTTTATTGATTGCGACCAAAGTAAATGTAACTTAATACAACGTCGATAATATTATGCTCTGTGTGTCCCGTTAAGCATAACGACCCTTATACCTATTGGCTTATTACATTTAAGCCCCTTGCATTTCTTATTCATGATATATTTATCTGAGTTATTTATCTTTTTTGTTTCTTTTCGATTGTAAACACCTATAAATTCTTTTTATAAGACTTCCCAAAAACATTATTGTTATTATAATGTTTCTATTGTAAAACAGTGATCCGTAAATTACTATTAAATTTCTCTGTGACAAACAGTTCCCGGTCATACGTTTAGAAGCTCATATATACATAAACAGATGTTCAACGTTGGTTTTTCCGTCCTGACTTTATTTTATATCAACTAAAATAGACATAAATAAATGATATAAATGATGGTGATGGTGAGGATGATGATAATGATGATTATACTGATGATAATGTGATTGCAGCGATGTCGATGGTGAAGACGAAAATAACAATGATGATGATGAATATAATAAAAATGATGATGATGAAAATGATGATGATGAAAATGATGATAGTAATGATGATGATAATTTGATGACGGTGTAGAAGACGGTGACTATGATGATGATGATAATGATGTATATGATGATGAATATGATGACGAATATGAATATTATGATGATGATGATGATCAAATGAAGAACCCAATTATAGAACGAAAACAGAATATATTGTATGCTTATGGTAAAACTAAATCTGACGCATAAAATATATTAACCGTTGTTACATGATGCAGAATAGTCAAAACTGTCTAGTCTTACATGATTTGTATTAATAAAAGCGGATATCGAATAATATTATGTAACAAGAATATTACTGCATACAATGTACCTAGTAAAATACACATGTATAACAATGCATGATAAAAATAAATAAACAATAGATGGTTAATCTTTTTTTATGTATTGTGATTGTTCTCTGTAAATGACTTGCCATGTATGTATTGCCGTTTTTACAAATGTTAATTGTTTCCTTATGTTTGTATCATGTATGATGCACTGAGAGCAATAAAGAATTTGAATTTGAATAAAATCACTGCATGCATGATAATAATACATATGTAAAACTATGCATAAACAAATAACAATACATACGTAAAACGATACATTAAAAAAAAAAATCATGTGTAATAACAATGTATATGTGAAACAATCGTGAGAAAGTTACAAAATATATCATAACAATACATATGTAAAACAACACATGAAAAAAATACGTCATATGTTAAAACAATATATATTTAAAACAACACATGGGAAAATACGTTATAACAATGCATATGTAAAACAGCACATGAGAAAATTACGTTATATGTTATAACAATACATATGCCAAACAACACATGATAAAATTACGTTATATGTTATAACAAATCATATGTAAAACAATACATGATAAAATTACGTTATATGTTAAAACAAATCATATGTGAAAAAAAACACGAAAATTACATCATTTATTATGACAATACATATGTAAAACAATAGACAACAAAAATATTTATATCTAGTATCATATGTAAAGGAATACATGAGAAATGTAATGAAATATATATAAAAAAAAGTCGTTACAATCCCTCTAAGATACTTTTTCCCATGTGTATATACAAACAAAAATCAATTAGAAAATCACTACATAACTATTGATATACATAAATGAAACAAACTTCATGTTCATACTTAACGCATCCAAATACCAATTTGCTTCACTTAGATTTGTCTTTTTATAATGTAAATATTTTCCCGGCACTAAGGTTGAGCGTTAATAAGCATTGCATACTAGTTATTTATACGCGATATATGATAGGCAGAAATTAAATACACAATTTAACGTTAATACCTGTAATATAAATCTTGCATTAATTACATTATATTGAGAGTATTTAAGCATGAAACTCTCACACCTAAATTAAATCACGACTCGACATATCGATATAAATTGTAAGCTTACGATAAAATCGGTAACCGTCGTTTCATTGGATGTCATTACCTTCTGTAAATGTTATACAATTTTAAACCGGTCATTAATTATGCGTTTTAAAAGTAAATGTTGTTACACATGCTGGTTTAATTTCATATCATACGATCATAATTAAACAGCCTTATTATACGTTATGTTATATATTTCAGCGCCTGATAAAAAAAAACCCAGCCCTGGCTGTATTGACCTACCGACCCCAATTATTTCTTTTTAGCAAAGTGTCAATTAAACGATGACAGCTTAAGAAAAGATACATTGAAAGCTTGTAAAATCATATTAAAACGAACAAATATCAGCTGCAAATTATTCTAGGTCAATTATTGGTTATCTACATGCAATTAAATTAGATTTACATCAAATCAAAATAAATTTAATTCAATATTTTTACTATTCACAATTTTCAATTTAAAGATTTAAATGTAATAAGTCACATTTTATACGTTTTTCATAAAATATTATGAACAAATCACAGCCGCATATCTTCAGACATTTTCATGGAACAAAAATTATACATGACAATCAGGGCTTCGGAAAAATACAGCATTTCATTTTCCTTTGCTTAAAGTGACATTTTACTGGTTAAATCAGGAGTTCTCAAAGATCCATTCTTAGACCCTTAAATTTTTATTTATCAATTACTGCGTAATAATATTGATATAGACATATGAATTTAAACTCTTACTATCCGGTGACCGTTTACTTGAAATATAAGATACAGTGTAATTTACAAAAAGATTTAAATAATATAACTTTAATAAATTCTCCTTACACCCGATAAAAACAACATTCATGATAATTGAACAAAGCAGGTGAAGCAATATAAGCCTCTCCTTCTATGTCATCATTCAAATGATTTATTAATACGTGTGCATTAAGCCGGCAATATGGGGAAAGGGCACAAACTCATACATCAATAAAGTATATTCAATCCAAAAATGAGCTGCCAAAATAATACTTAACAGGCCGATATGTTCACCAACATTATTTTTTTAATAAACTTAAATGGCTGAAATTCAATTTAAGCAATGTCTTAAACAGATGTATAAGTTTTTAGCTTCTCTCATAATGAATTACATGATTTACTCTCAATCGCCCATAAGAATCTTGTGCTGAAACCTATTCCTCATATTATATTAATTATTTAAAGGATTCCTTTTTTATTATTTCAGTATTGGTGTTTGGATCAAGTTACCTACCTTTTCAAACAACGTTTGACATTACAATCTTTCAATAAGAGCTTTAAAATCATTATCTTAGTTAACAATTAGATAAATGATGAAAAATGATCACTTGATATTGTAGTTGTTGTTTTTATTGATATTATCTGTATTACGTTTTACGTGCCCCGGTTGGTCTATGTAAGATTTTTAAATTTTATGTTTTTTAGTTCAATGATACTCTTTTTATTAAATATTTGAGGCATGACTAAAAGATACAAAACTCTTTTAACATTGTTCTATTTCATTACATCATTGACATGTTCAATAATGGTCATGAAGTAAGAACAATGATATAGTGTACCGCTTTATTTTTAGCGCCGATGAGAAGTAATACACATATGTACACACGTAGGTTACAATGGACATCTTCCCTTCCAGGAACTTAGATATATTGGTATTTAGAATATGACTTAAGTAAAGACTTCATTGTAACTGTAAGTATATTGTATCATTACCAAGCATGCGTCTGGGTGAACGTCTCGCGCCGTTTAATTCTGTTACTTATGTTCCTGTTCAATATTGACTGCTGCAAAAAAAAAATGAATATTTAATTTTGAGAGGATTGTTTTACGAGTAAAATCAGAACAGGATATGAAATGATCGATAAATGCGAATTTTGAAACAATTTATATGTTAGCATATGCACAGTGGTCATTTTTGACAAGGTTATGTCTGCTAAAGGCCATCATAACAGTACATCTTCATACATACTTCATGAAAGTGGGAAAATAGTAGCCGGTCAACTTTTGATTTACAGCACACAGAACTTTTTCACTAGCATAGTTCTACAAAGATGAAACAAATGATTTTGTTTCTAAATGTTAGAAAATTGCAATTTCATTCAGAGTTTATAGAACATAAAGTAAAAATAGCTGATGGTATAAAGCATGCATCTAAGGAGTTTCTCCACAAACATATCTCTTACCTTTGAAAAGTGTGAGGAACACTATAAAAATAATTTCACGGTAGCACTGACTGTATATCATACTGATGGTAATGTCTAGCCTGGAGTGGAAATGACATTTAATAATGTTATATGCCCACTGACAATAGACAGATTACCATGTCTGGCTTACCTTGGCACAATGACCTTATTCGAAGGTTTCAATGTCTAAGAAATTCCTGATTCAACACAGAGCAATCATCCTGCAATTTAAGAAAGTTTATAGTGTCTTCAAGACGGGAAAATGAGTTGCCTATGGTTTCTGATTTGCTGATACCCTGTCCCGTTGAAATGTATGTGCACTCTCGGTTGACTATGTAGATATGACCTTAACCATTTGCTCCATTGAAGGCGTGTCATCCCAACCATCCTGTTGTTTTGTAATAACATGGCCAGTTGTTTCAGAACTAGTCTAGACAATGGTACCCCTCTAGAAGCTAAGTTAAAGTACCTTGAATTATACTAAAAGGCTCTCTATTTTCAGTGGTTAGAAGTCTAATTGGATAAGTGCATCAAAAGAAGTTACATGATCATAATATTTCCATTTATAAGATCTCTAAAAGTCTGATATAGTATGCCAGTCTTAATAGGACGCTTTGCAGTGTGATTGAGTTTAGTTTCATGGAGATTTTGTTTTCTCAAAGTTTTAGCAGAAATTTTATATCCTGTAAATACGACCTCAGTCTGGAAAGGTCTACAATTAATCTCTGACAGTTTATTATTATTACAGAAATGTTTGTTTTTTATCGTTCGTAACTCTAATACATTCTCTCATTACTATATGCAAAGCACCGCCATGAGAAGACATACACCGACTATTTATAAGACTTTATAATGACTTATATATGCTGTGTATAGACTTTAGTTTTTATTTATCTATGTAAATTGAGACATATATATAGAGGATATTCAAGTTTTTTCTATAAATGCATGATTTATTTTCATCGAGTGGTATGAAAATAAATATTTCATGAGTGGCGGTAGCCACGAGTGAAATATTATAATTTTCATGCCACAAGATGAAAATAAATCATGTATTTATAGAAAAAACTTGAATTTTCTGTTTATTATATACATTTTTCTCTTTTTTTGCGATAAATTTTGAAAGACTTTCCATTAAATTTTGTGTACTGGCAGAATTTAAAAGAAAGTAGTCCGGCGAGACACCAGTGAAAATACGGAAAATATGTTTCACTGCAGTGAAAAATAAATTTTTACAGTGAAAATACGGAAAATGAAAATATGCATTTTATTTCATCAATATTTATCAATATTTCATTTATAAGTGTATAATAAACTATGATATAAGAAAAGAGTAAACATGTAATTCAATTAATTTTATCCTAGAATCACTACCGAGGTACTGTTTTACTAGTGTACAATTGGAGCGGGTTTGCTAGAATTTTAACAACAATTGTGTTATTCTTTCAGGAATTGTAAAAGGTATTATAGATAACATATTTTATAATAATATTCACTGCATATAGATTATTTGTATCATTTAGAAAAACTTTTGTTTTTGAGTTCAAGAAACACCGGCATTTTTCATTCCCAAAGCTATCCTCCGCAACAGGTAAATAAGGACTTAAGCGATGGAAATGATTATATTTTTACCCTAAGTTTAATGACAGACAAATATTGTAGTTTCGATTCAAAACATAATATATACTGACTAGATAGATCGGTTACAGAGTTTATTATTTTACGATCAAGTTTTAAACATAAGATTATGGTTAGCCCTGGAAGCTTGGCCTGACCACGGATCTATAATTCGTGGCCTGGCAACAATTTAATAACGCAGTCGATATAAGTTAAACATATAATTTATTAAACAGAGTCACATGTCACACACAGTTGTTCAAATTTTATCCGAAAAAAAACTGTGTATATCTTATTAAGAGTTTTTTGTTTTTGATATTTTATTCATTCATTTATTGTTTTTGCTATGAAATAATAATTGAAAATGTGAAAAATAATTATTTGATTCATCAGCATAATTTTCTGGCACGTTTAAACTTGTATCAACGTCACTGAACTAGTTAAAAACCAGTTATAGAATGTAACGTTCTGGGTTTTTTTCCTACACTGATATTTGGTAGACAATTTAAAGATACCTATCTTGTACTGATAAACATCAAACATAATTATAAAACGTATGATTATATATTATTACCCCTCTCTATTTTTTGTAGTTAATTTCCCGTAGGGTAATGTTAATGTTATTTTTATTGTTGATTAAAGTCTACCATCTGACTAAAAAATTTGTACTTTAACATAGGTAATAGTACTTTTTCAAAGTGAAAACAAAACGAATAGAATTAGAGTCCCAGTAAAGTATTTGATCTGGGTAATAATATAAATAACACAAAGGTTTGTGAGTAACAACAAAAATAATCCTTCGTTAAAGTGCTGTTACACTTTGCTAGCGCCAAAGGTAACAGTATTTCCTTGGAATGATATTTTTACTGTTACTCACTCAAATATGTGTTATTTATAAAACATACAATTATAAATATAAATTTCAGAAACAGCTATATATGATTGATATTTCAATTATATAACCTTTAGGTTTTAAACATTTTGAGAAGAAAAGAATACATTAGCGTCTTGTGGTCATGACAGTTTAATAATACATAATTGTAACCCGCACTTGTATATACTTAAAGAAAACAAATGCAATATGTTTTCAATTAAACAAAAACTTTGTATGGTTCTTTTTGGAAAACCCTGTGAATAAGGTACAATTTGACTTAATGAAAAGATATGAACAAAGGCATTTACAGATCACCTTATCATTTTCAAATATATGAACTTAATTCAATAATTAAGATTTATTGAGCAAATAATTGCTTTGTTAATGTTTAATATGAATCACACAAACTAAGTGTTATTGTAATCAAAATTGAATTTATTGAACACATTGTTACCGTAGATTTTTATTTTTTTAACCGATTTATAAGTTAAGATTACACTGTTTGACATGCCTTTTATCCCTTAACTGTAAGCATGCCTGGAACGTTTGATTTGTACAGGGCACAGTGCGAATTTACTTGAAATTATCGATTTAATAGCTATTTTGTGAAATATAGCATGATATGGACAATACATGTACTTACAACGCACATTTTTTCTTTATATGATAAAAAAACCAAAACATTTACTTCAGATATAGACAATAGCGCGGTTATGATTAAGACCAAATGAGAAAGTTTATGGAGTGTAGGTTGTGATTATACTTATTATAATTAAATTAAGAGTACAAATAATTGCATCGAAATATGATGTCATTTTCAATTCAAATTCTTATTGAGTTCTATAAACGGCGTACTTTGGCGTGATCGTTAAAATGTAGGAAGATGCAGCAATAGGATAAGTCTTGATAGGTCATTGATATTCTAGATTGTACGAACGATGCGAGATGTTAGTAAAAAAGGTACTATGTGGCACTCTAAAGTTTAAATGTTTTATTTCTTAAACTGGACAATGTCAGGCAACACAGTGAAATAGAAGAGGATTTTTGAGATTCTAAATATTTACTGATGCTATAATTCATGATTCAATAAAAAGTGATATATTTCATTGACTTATAATATTGGTTTGAAAGCATTCAGTCTTTTGACACTCATGCATTTTGATCGTGTAGCTGTCAGATGCGAAAGTTGTTAATTAAACAGGGTATTCGAAATTAAACTTTAAATTCGATTTGCAGGATATCAAATTTGAAGTTGAAGAAATAATTAAAAAAAATTCAAAATGCCACACGTTGTGAAGAATTATTATATTTCATGTCACTTACGAAGTTGACAATTTTAAATAAATAGCTGTATGAGAATAACGAACTTACTAAAAGTATGAATAACATAGTTAAATAGTAGGCCTAGCAGTATCTCTATTTGCATCTCATTAATGCATGTACATACATTTTTCAAATATGTATAGTTTAAAACAAAAAGAAAATAGATGCAATGCCATTCCATATGCAATTATAAGTGATTATCATTAGAATTTACATTAAATTGAACAGTTTATCTAAGCTAACCATGGTGTTAAAATACTGTATAAGAAAGACATATACATTTCTAGTAAACCGTATTATCAACTGTCAACTATCAAGCCCGACATCACAGTGTTCCATCAAATCTTTTTTGTTGTGATTTTAAAATACCATATGACACATGTTATGAAGACAGTTTATTATACATAAGCACCATGTGAGTGAACTTTACATGCATCCCTTTGTTTTGATTTTTTTAAAGTTGTATAAACAGATATCCGGGCAAAAAACACCTGAAGAATGCCGAAAGGTTCTTTGGTAAATAGGCAAAAGTCCTTCAGTTAAATTTCAGATGCCCGAGAACTTTTCAGTGTAAAAAGATATGTTTATATTGAGATACAATTATTCCATTTCACACGCCTTTTTATTTCACATCAATAGTTTTGCAGCGGTATAAACAACAACGTCTGGAATATAGAATAATATGCAGTAGACCAATTTTATGAAAATTATTTTTGTATAATTTATACACCCATATAAAAACAAACATGTAAATAAAATCTTGGATTGAATAAAAACGTTTCAAAGTTTTTTGTTGCTGTTTTTATTTATTCATTTATTTTTTCCCAAACATAAAGATGTGTGACCATTATCTATGACATCATTGTATACAATTTACATCGCTATCTCTTAATTGAATTATAATGGCCAGAGGTGGTTTGCGCATTTTATCAGTGTTACAACTAGAACGCACAAGTAATTGTCTACATAATAGTGCATTGCTGTATATGTGAAAAACACATTAAAAACATCGACATAAAATATCTAAAAATCAATTTTTATCAGATAAAAGTTATATTATCTAAAATAGTTTTCTAAACATGTGCATATACTACATAACGTTGCGTTGCGTTAGTAGTTGTGGTAGAAAGCGTTTGTTTACGTGTGCATATTGCATGATAAACATAAAGTAACAATAGTATGAAGCGTTAGGTCACATTTACTTTTGCATTTGTTTCATTTTATTTATCTACAATAAAAGTACATTGGCATTTGTTTTCGAATGGACAAGTGTGGGTGACGTTGTACCTACATGTATATAGTGAAAGAATTAAGATGATCAAAACACTTGGAAATAATGGAATTAAACTTCTTCTTTTTCTTATAATTATATTGATATATTTATTTACATATATAGTAAAAGATGCGTGTATGCATGCAAAACTGTTTAATATAAATGATATAAGGTCAAAAATATTCAAGTTGGAATTTAATCCCGTGTACAATGAAATTCATTTAAATAACGGGCTTCGTCGAACTTCTAAAACTAAACATTCTCAGGATACTGTAGCACAATACTTCTCACGTAACGTCCGAGCTAAGAAAATAAATTGTCGGGCAATTGTTCACAGAGATAACAATGCGTTACAAAAAGCTAAAAGAACATCTCGACCGTCTTCATCATTTCTCACTGCAGATAATTATGTCAATATGACAGATAACTGTGATAACTTCATTGATAATAGAGGATATATAACTGATCATTTAACTGAAGAGGAGAAAGATTTTCCTATCGCATACAGTATACTCATGTACAAAAACGTGGAACAATTTGAACGTCTTTTACGAGCGATTTACAGACCACAGAACATATACTGTCTACATGTCGATTCCAAGTCCGCGACAGTGATATATAAAGCCGTGTTGAGTATTGCACGTTGCTTTGACAACGTGTTCTTATTAGATAAACGAATCCGCGTTAGTTGGGGCAAAATGTCTGTACTGACACCGGAACTTTTATGCATGAAAGAGCTCTGGGAAAGGAGCAAAACATGGAAATACTTTATCAATTTAACGGGACAGGAATTTCCACTAAAAACAAACTATGAATTGGTGCAAATTTTAAAAGCTTATAACGGATCTAATGATGTCGAAACTTCCGTGCAAAAGAGGTAAGTTCAAAATCATTTAACACTATAAATTGATAACTTTAACTACACATTCAAAACTATAGAAATCATATTACAAAGTAATTGCGTGATAAAACTCTCATCTACATGCAATTATTGAAAACTTTCACCAAATTCTTTCTATTCAAGAATATAAAAGTAACTAATTTCATTTTTTCCCCTTTTTTGAAAAGGTTTATAGACAGATGTAAAACAGCCGATTTTCCACCACCGCACGGAGTTCACGTGCGTAAAGGTGCGCTTCATATTGCTGTGAATAGGGGCTACGTGAACTATAGTTTACATGACGAAAGGGCACATGATATATTAGAATGGACAAGAAAGGCGTGCTACATTCCAGATGAAATATATTTTTCGACACTAAACCACAACGCTCATCTAGGTGTGCCAGGATCGTACGGAGGTAAGATTATAATCATATATCTCATACACTAACTGACACTATTATAACATTACTTTTAAAATTACATAGTATGTTCTGTAAGCAAGTTTCATGTAAAATCAAAAGTTCAATTTTCAGTGTAAAATTCTAAAGTAGGTGGAACAAATGTGAAATTATGATAAAGATCTAGCACTGAATTTTCTTAATTTGATTCTCTGAAATAATATTTTTGGTTTTATAAATTAAAAAGTAAACGATAAAATGTACCCCTATGTATTCAAGTATTCAAGTACGGTCAGGTATGTTTGTCCGAACTCATATTTAAAGACCAAAATATTGACGACGTTGCCCCATTCAATTTTGTATCTCAAAATAAAAAAGTCTTATTTAAGACATTTATAATGATGTGAAATAAATGGTTTAATTTTCAATAAACATCAAAATCTGTTTCATAAAAAAGAGGTCACATTTGTCGTACTTATTCTCCGTCCGCGTATTATTTTCAACGCATAGTAAATTCTTTAACCTCAACATGAACATTGGCATGGTCATGTACACACCATTTCAAAACTGATACTTTCATCAAATACTTGTTTTGTAGACGTGATATGACATTATTCTAACATAACATTATTCTAACACTAGCGTTTTCAATAATGCACATTCATTGATAATTTCTTTGATCTTATGCTCATTGCAATTACCTACTAATTAAATAGTTTTACAAATACAAAACCGGAATCCAGCTTGATTAAGGAATGTTGGTGATTCTACAAAGGTGAACGTTATTGTCTGAAATAATGCACAATTATGTTTATCTTTTTACATATAACTTTAATAAAATGAAACATTTACAATATGTATTAAGACTGGAAGCGTTTCATCAGGGAGGATACATTTTCTTTAATAATTTATCTTTATCTTTCTTTCTAGGAATTCCTGAAACGACCAGATTACCTTTGAAAAGAAAGCCATATCTAGCCCGATATAAAAACAGAGTTAAATCTATTACACATAGGTACCCGTGTCATGGTATAGTAGTTCGAGGAATATGTATTTATGGCATTGGTGACCTTCCAATTCTAGCTAGGCGCCAGGAGCTATTCGCAAATAAATTTCATTTAAATTTAAGCCCTTTAGTATTCGAGTGTTTAGAGGAACTGATTTACAATAGAACACGTGACGAATATTTAGGAAGAAAGAAATTCGATGCAACATGGTATTCGACATTAGGTTTTGTGACAGATAAGATGTAACACCAGGACAACAATCATTTGTATTGTCATTAACATTAAAAGACAATATTTGTGTTTATATGGATTGTTTAATTAGATACACCGAGACGAGGCGTGGTTAACGACGGCGTTCTTGAAATTGTGAGATTTGTGTCAGGTTTTTTTTTGCTTGTGTGTCATTTTTTCACTTTTTTTTAAATATAAGGATTATTTCTAGCATTTGGTATCCTCCCATCTGGACTATTTTGTCACTTATCAGAGCCAAAATGAACTAATGCTTGTGTACGCATATTTGCTTTGTGGTTCTTTTTTTCTTCAATTAACCTGTGGAAAGTAATGTATAGATACATGGAAGTTCAGAACTGTAATAGGCATTTTTTGCGTATACTTTGTGTTGTATTGTTTTTGATGTTTGTTGTTTGTGACAAATTTCTAGAGTAAATACTTAAATTGAATAGATTGAATATTGCATCTTGTCATTTTTTATATTAATCTTACATAGATATGTATCATCTTTGGTGTCAGTGGATCTTTTAAAGCGTTAATTCTAGACTACGTCGGCGATCCGACAAAAACAACTAAGTTGTATACTTTATATGGGACCACATGTAGTTGTGCAGAACCGTACATAATATTTTAAGAATCGTACAGTGGCCGTTGCTAACATTGTCATAGTTGATGTTACACCCGCATCTACAAAAAAATAGTTTAGACGAATTATTTTAAATCTCATGGTACCCAGTGACTTAGTGAAATATAACAACATTTCACTCATCACAAGAAAAAGTCTCGATAGCCCGTAAAATGATGTTTGCATAAAACAATTGCAGTCACTGAATATTTTTGTTTGTTAAAAATATTGTGCAATAAAGATAGTTTGAATATTAACAAGGACTGCAATATTAAGTACTTTTTAATTTAATTTAAACAAGTGATAAAACATGTACCGCGATATTAGTCATTTGTGCACTGTGATCCACGTCGCAGCAGACAACCAGAATTGTTTTACCAAGTACACATCGAATGTGTTTGCTGACGTTTGTTGTTGTTGTTGTTGTTGTTTAGATTAACGATTTTTGTCAGTGCGTTTAATTACATAAAACAAGCAACACTGTGAGGTTCACACTTTCAGATTTGATGCTGTGAACCAATAAGGTGAAACAAAGATATAGGTATTTTATATCTAAATGTCTTTATATGAATATTTATTTCTGGATAATTATTTACTTATATTTAAATAATCAAAGTATTGATGAATAAGGAGACGCTTAGCTTGTTAATTCAACGGTAGATTAGATACAAAAACAATCGAAAAGTGATTTTTGTTGGTTCTAATCAACAATTACTAGTATCCCATTTTACAGTACATTCGGACAGACGTTGTGTTGCAAATTCTTAGGCATATCAAAGAATTATAGGTTGAATGTCATTACATAAGTCAGTTACAATAAGTGATGAGAATGTGGCATAATCAGATAATCGTCTTCAGAATATGAGTAATTTCTAAGGTGGCCTGCAGCAAAAATGTGAAGCAGTCGCATATAGAGATAGCATTTAATTACTTATGTTAATGTGTAAATAATAATTATTATCATAATATAATGAAAAACAAAAAAAACAAAAAACAAACATGAAATAGTTCAACTTAAGTTCGTGTAAAAACCACGCATGTCTGGTAATGCATGCAACATGCATGCAACATTATTTGTATAAGTCATTAATGATTTTGAATAAAATGCACTATTTATAATGGGTCCCGAAGTGTTTCGTTGATATATGTGGATGTTTTCATGAACGTAAAATTGATAGGTAGTTGGTAGTTGGATATTCGTAATTCTCGAATAATTAACAGCTTGTATAGTTGGTAATTTAAATGAACTGTTTGAACACATACATTTTTAACACAAAATAAAAGAGGGGACTTAGTTAGTTATTCGCGCGAATCGCCAACTATACCTACCAAAAGGTAGTTGGTAATTCGAACATAGCAGGTCCTCCCCTCAAAACAGAAAGTAATTTTCGGAATAAATACAACGGATATATAACAAGATAGAAGTGTTCATCAACATCGAAACACATTGTCTCCCTTTGTCTACCAGAAGATTCAGTCGGTTATTCCGCAAATCCCCAACTACCTACGTTGTCGCGCTGTCGTCTTGTCATCCTTTCTCTAGCGAAGCACGCCAAACGGCGCGTTGTCGTGCGGCGCGTTGTCGCCCTGCCCGTTGGCATATAAGCCGATCCATCGATTAGAACCGAGCGACAATGAGACATCGTGACAACACGCTGCACGACAACGCGCTCCAAATCAGACACCATATGAAGAGGTATTAAATGTTAGTGATACACTATAAGCGCGTCAATATGGTTGCTGATTCGGAACGCTTTTGTGTGTCCTGTTGGCGCTAGCGACAACAGGATAAAGCGCAAAACGGCGCGTTGTCGGACCTTCGTCTTATCGTCCTGTCGATAACGATGTACGCCAAACGGCGCGTTGACGTGCGGCGTGTTGTCGCGATGTCATATTGTCGCTCGGTTCAAATCGAAGGATTGGCTTATAAGCCAAGTGACAGCGCGACATCGCGACGCTAGCGACAACTTGACAAAGCGCAAAACGGCGCGTTGTCGGACTTTCGTCCTGTCGTCCTGTCGCTAGCGACAACACGACAAAGCGCTAAACGGCTCGTTGTCGCGGTCTGGTATTGTCGCCCTGTCTCTAGCGCTTCAATTTGAACCGAGCGACAACAAGTCGACGCCGTTTGGCGCCATATAAAACACACATACCTAGATCTACATTTGATAAACATATCGACTCTCATCTTAAATGTTTTGTTTCTCGTCAAACATTCATTTACATTTTCGTCAAATGGAAAAGGAATGTTTTCTTATCTCTGTATACAAAAAAAAATGACTGAACAACTGTCTGATTTCATGTAATGAGGGTTATTTACCGAGACTAATGTCGTGTAACGAGACTTAAAATGAATCCTGTGTTAAATACATGTACGTTGTCTTCATAAAAGGGTAACTGTTTTGCATTGGGAAAACGCATTAGTGTATATAAGCTGTTGCATTGTATTGTATTTTTCTATCTACATTTGTAACTAGAAAACAAGTTTGTTTTGAATATACATGTATATTTATTTTTCTCTTGGGATAATTGACATAGTTCTGGGCTGACGTTGATCCGGTTTCCAAAACTTTAATAACCGCCTTTCATATTTTGTTGATAAGTCATCAGACCCGTTACCAAATCTTATCAAAATCGCGTATTCTCGCTTTATTTCACCAATAAATAAAGACATTATGTGTAAACTAATACGAGCGTGTTAGCGGTGTCTTTATTAACGCTCATGGTGTCAGACTCCCGGCACAATTATAAGTTATGTAATAGAAGGAGCACCGAAACACGAGGCTATCTGATTTGTACGAGGGGGCGTAGCCCCCGAGTATAAATCAGATTGCCGAGTGTTTTGGTGTTCCATAGTCAAACATGACAGCACGTCCCCTGTTGTCATAATATGAAACCCCAGAAAAAAATTAACCAATGAACGAGCATTTGAACATAATAGTTCTGCCCCTTTCCCTTTCTCTGCCGTCACAATATGTAAACCCCAGCAAAAATGAACCAATCAACGGGCATTATCTGGAGTGCGGGTAACTGATACCCGCACTCCAGTTACTGCACTGTGCATATATATGTATACGATTTAACTCTGACACTTTTTCAACAGAAAGGTCCCCAAACTATGATACAAGGCTTCAATTGAAGCGTACCCGTCCTGTCACAGTATAAAACGAGTACTAATACGGACGTAATGGAATAATAATATCAGTTAGGATTGGAATATCTGTCCCGAGTGTACCCAGCCATTAGGCGGTAACAAATCTTGCCGCACATGCGCAGGTGTTTTTTTTTCTATAAATTAAAGCACCTTAATTATCGGTTGACCCTGATCTCTAAACAGGTCAGTGGAATATCAATTCCTATATATGTTACAATAAAACTGTGTCATTTCATAGTAATTCATCTACATGTGTTTACATCGAAATTATTTATTATCTGATTTTATTGACCTGTTAATTATGAATACATAATAGATCTCATTTAAATATTCGATCCCACTTCGGTTCTGTCCGTATAGTTTACGATAATTAATATGAATATGTAACTAATGTTTGGAAAAATCACACTAGCTCTATGGAAAGGTTCTCGTCACATCCGCAATAGCACAGTCCCCAAGGCTTATATATAAGCGGTTTGTGGTTCGATCCCTACTTTTGCCATTGTTTTGAGACCTACTCTTTATTTATTTTTTGAAGTATATTTTAATAGAAATGGACAAGTGCTTGCAAAATTGTCTACACGGATATGAAACATCTTAGAAACAATTATTTGTCTCGTTTTGTTTTGTATTTTACGACACTGAAAATACATTTATTGAATTTAATCCGAATGAATTTTAAATATTAATTCTTAAACTATATTATTTAAAAAAGTATAGTCTTGACCAAAATAAGTGCAAAACATATTAAAAACAAAAATAATAACCTAAAAAACAATCATGACTTCAATAATGTTGAAAATAGTTATATGTAAGAAAAAATAATCATGGACATATTACTATCTTACAACACGCAGGATCATGAAAATTTTATAAACCCGTTCTTTACCAATTGCACTATAACGGCTATTGTATATGGAGGCTATTCGATGCCAAAAATCCAGCCTTGTTGATCAGAGTTGATCAGTTTGCACAATTGTATTTCTTTGTATGTAAACTCCAATGTTGCATTCTTGGATTGAGTTTGCCGATTTAAGATTGTGAACATGTATTTCAACAAAATACATTTTGTTAAACGACAAAACATTGACTGTTTTTTCTGATAGTAGCAATACCAAGTGTTCATCATAACATGCGGAATACTCATTGTTCGTGTATACACCGACAAAACATAAGTTACTTTCTCAGCTTTACATTGTCAAACCATCATGATTCGGATCAGCATAATCCAGGTTTACACGTTTTTCAATAGGAGACAAGTTAAATGTTACACATCAAAGACGACGCCAAATGATGTGAACAGTCACAGGTAATGCACAAAATCAGCCTTGAAAATCGTTCTCTGTTACAGTTGAATATCCGAAGCACTAGTCAATTTTTTCTCCATGTTCTTGGTATGTCCTCGTTGTTTAATAATTACGTTGCATATTTTTGTGAAAAAGTAGAACCTAATGCATAAATTTCCAAAGTAATGCCTTAAATTGTCTGAAATTCTGAAATGCTAGTCTGTTGCGACACAGATTGAAAGGTCTTGTCTAAGCAAAATAGACTGGATAACAAGTGAAATTGAAATGTTTGGTATACTTAAAATAAATTCAAGACAAAGACAGAGGTAAAAAAATATCTTCGTGGCCCATTTAAATATTGGTGCGAATTGCATTATGTTCGAATGACTTGAGGACGAACTGTTCTGTTATTTTACAAATAGCAAAAATATGTCTGTAATATTAAATAATAGTTATGAATAAATTGTTGAATATAATCAATTATTACTTACGTATTGTTTTCTTATTTCTAAAAAATTAAACTACATGATTAAATTTGCCTCACGCGTCTGTGAGCTAAGCGATTGAGAGAGAACCGCCTCTCTGATAGTAGGCGTGGTTTAGACTTTGTAAATTGCAATTTAATGATTCGCCCTAATGTTGCAGGGAAGTGATATTGATCATTGTTATCTTGGTTCCCTTCCCTCCGTCAACGAAGCCTAAATGGTAGCATACAGAGTAAGGATCATATTAAATTTGGTGACAATTGGAGACGGAGCCGTACTTCAACAGAGGCGGAGCAAATGAAGTGAGTGACACTGCCTCAGTCGTTATTTCTATCAACTGTTAAGTTTTAGAAGGGTCGACTATAGACTGGTTCATTGGCACGTTATTTATTAGGTAAATATGATAAAAAGAATATGACCTTCAGACATGAAACTATCACTAAGTTAAACGTTAAGTTTAATTCCTTAAAGCTCAGTGGCATGTTGTACATCAGAAAAGCTATTTTCATTAGTAAACGGTGTGATTTTGTTAAAACAAAAAAGATACACAAAAACAAGTCTAAAATTTTCCTCATTGCTGTAAAGACGAATGCATATCTATTAGACGCCGCGCGCAGCGTCTATTAAAATAAGCTCCGGCCATTTTCCCGCCCACTACATCATCGTAAATAAACGTATTAATCCGCTCATTTTCGGTATTTATCGTCAGCGACAAAATAACCACCAAACATAATTCACTTGCATGATTGCATTCTATGCCTTTATTCAATCAACATCAGCGGACTTTAAATGATTATAGGCATATAAGGTTTGAAAGATACCAAATTTCCTGGAAAAAGAAACCAAAAAAAAAATCACCAGGTTACTTACTGTCTGAGGTTAAATATTTTTCAAGGAAGTAAAAATTATTGATATATTCAACGAAAACTGAATTTTACTGAGGGGATTCCAATTTGCATAGGAATGAGTAACATTGACAGTTAAGCTGCTACCTTACCACTTTCAAATTTTTAAGTCAACATCTGATAGAGATTTTGATACGACTAAATACAGACCAAATTCTGGCTGAGTAGT